GATGTGATTTAAGGGCAGCTGGACAAAGATGGGTTAAAAATATCTCCACTGTTGCCTACACAGTGCCTGGAATTTCACCACTGGAGGTGCATTACTTTGGGCCTTGAAGTCCTTCTGGTCTCCAGGGTTGCTTTATTAGAACATGATTGCCCAAAGAGGAGTCATACTCAGCTGAGACCTCAGTGAGGATCAGGGCCTCGGAGAATGAGTCACAGGAGAGATGCCCCGAAAGGAGCCTGGCAGCTCTGAGAGTGGATACAGTGGTCCGGAGAGGACAATGGGAGGTTCTGAAGATAGGAGTGGACATTTTGTTGGACTGGCCCCACCTTTGTGGCCCCCAGCACAGAGTGAGGCGAATGTAAGGTATATAATTCCTTTGATTTAAGGAAATACTATTTGATCAGGTGTTTAAGAGTTGCGGGCATGGGTCATGGTGGCAGGTGGGCATCAAACGCTGAGGACCCTGAGCCTTGTGAAGGCATAAAAGACAAGAAGGCAGAATCCTTGCCCTCAAAGAGCTTATAGTCTTTTTGTGGAGGGTAATTATCAATAGCAAACAATGGATGTGTAAGACAAGACAGGAATGACCAAGCACGGAATATATGTGTAATTGGAAACTGGGGAAAAGAAGAGCTCAGTGTGGAAGGAGGCAGTTTCAGCTTCACTAGGATACATGGGACCCCAAGATCAGTACCAAATAAAGAGATAGATCAAAAGACTCAGTGAAAGCCTAGCTTATGCCAAAAGAAGACCAAGTCGGCCACAACCAATTGCTACCTCAGCACTTCCAAACAAGGAAATCCAACTTGGATTTAATCATCATGATGCAAAATTAAGTCCAGCTTTTTAAATGAAAAGAGCTAACGGTTGTTCCAATCATAATAAATAAATCCAGAATTTCAGTAATAGGTGAAAGTATCAGATTTATATATTAAAACAGATGGCAAAGGCAAGACTAAGTCCTTGAGGGAACTGAGGGAAAGAGATCTGATGACCACCATGGGTCAACCACCTTGGCAAATCCCAAGACCTTCCACTGAATTCAGCTCTGATAAAGAATGGCTTTATCCTGTGACCTTCCAGCAAAAGCCAAATGCTCTTCTTCTGGGCTTTCACTGAATACTTCCTTCACAAGCAGGAAAGGTTACTTCTATTTACTCTAACTTATTTGGTATTTTTTAAAAAAAAGATCCCTTTATTTAATTCTCACAAAGAAAACAACCCAAAGGAAGAAAGGAAGGAAGAAAGCAAGTAAGCTTTGACCTTTATATGCTAAATGAGTTATTTTACCAATAGCGACAGGTGATTACATTCTCACCATTCTGAATAACAACCCTTTGTACACCTTGCATAAGAGATACCAATAGCTACAGCCTAAGGCTTGTTTGTGAGCCAAGCAGTGAAAAGAAAAAAATATAGGTAGAAAGACTTGAAAAAGAAGAAAAGGTTGAGAGAGGAGGAACCCACAAGAGATCCTTCCTCCTGCGAGTTTCTTAATTGAATTATTGCAATATGTATATTTCCTTTTCATTTCAGCTTGGTTGCTAATAAGCCTCATTTCCACAAGTTGCCTGTTTTCTTCAAGGCAGCTGCGTATTTGAGACATAAGCAGCAAAAATCTCTGGCTCAATCAGCTAATAGGTTTGTATGAATCTCTGTGGAGATGCACAGATACGGTGATCACATGATACAAACCCACAATTAGACACAGGGTCTAACAAACGATACATGTGCTTTATTTCCAGATGCAAGCAGCAACTTGGCAAATGTTCCAATGTCGAAATGTTAGGATTTCTGGAACATTTGGTGTGATAAGGAGCAATCAGAAAAAAAAATTTTTTTTTGAGATCCTGAAAATCTGGGTGGTGATTACAATACTGGAGCAAAATGACAATACCAGTATTTCTGTATTTAACATTTTATAAGAAAAGGATTCAGAATCCAGAAAAAGAAACCAGTGAAAATGAATATTTAATATATTTAAAATACACAAATTTTAAGTATCACGTAAAATGTAAAAATTACTACCTAAACAATATCAACCTATTAATAATTATTAGTAGATTGAATTTAAAAACGGAAGTATTAAAAACTACAGTCTCAAAAAAGAAAAAAAATTAAGTCATGAAATGTTGAAAATGAGATCATATTATTTAAACTTTTATAATGAGAGTTCTTAAACTGCAGAAATGTTGAAATTTTGTCCAAATTTCTTCACTGCTAATAAAAAAGAAAATACTAGTTAGGAAAATGTGATGTATTTATGATTGGTCTCCAAATATATTCTTCTGGCTCCTTCATCTTGAATAATTGCAACTCTCATTTGATAAATTTGAGGAATATTTTTAAACGTTGAGGAGTATTTTTTAAACATAATTCTGTTGGGGGGTGGGGGGGGTGAAACGTATTTATTTCCTTCAAGCTGTAGTTTGCTTGAAAACAAGAAGCCAGCATTTCCAGTTTGTTCTCTTCTTCTTTAGTTCGCTTATATATGCCCAGTTGCCCGGATCTGTCTCAAAACTCTCCTGGTATAGTGGATACGCTCTAAGGTGATCCCCAACGAGTCAGGCCCTAGTATGATCCTCTCCTCTTGAGGGAAGACACAGCCTGTGACTAGCTCCTAGCCAACAGAATACAACAAAGCCCATGGGCGAGTCACTCCCTTGATAAGATTACATTACACAAGTCTCCATCTTAGCAGACTGGAGTAAGAGCTTCTTCTGCTGGCTCTGAAGTCATCTATCATGTTGTGACAGGGCCTGTGAGAGGCAAGCAGCCATATGGGTAGAACTGTTGAGTAACACTTAGGAGATGAGAACACCCAGGTGACAGCCAGCAAGAAAACAGGGGACCTCAGTCCTACAACCTTAACTGAATTCCAACAACAACCACATGAACTTGGAAGGAAAAAAGCTCCCAAAAGGACCATAGCATAGTCAACATCTTGATTATACCCTATGAGACTCTCGAAGCAGAGGACCCAGGTAAAGTGCATCCAGATTCCTGATCCAAAGAAACTGTGGAATAATAATTATATGTTGTTTTAAGCCACTAAATTTGTGGTAATTTGTTATGCTGCAATACATAATTAATGCACAAGTCATAATCCACTTTGAGCCCCTCAAAACTGTTATTCTTGCAAAAAAAGGTTTGTGTTGCTAATTGTTATCTTCTTCCTCCATTTGAGGATAGCAGAAATATAGCAGAATGCTTTATAGATGTGTACACCTTTATCCAATTCAAAACTTTAATGCAGAATATAATTCTCCATGTATGATTCTCAAAATATAAAGTATAAATTCAACATTTTTCAAAATACTATTTTTTTGTACTTGGAAAATGGAGAGTATACCTCCAAACCAGTTTTTTTAACGTGCACACTTCCTTATTTTTTGAAATAAATGTTTTATTTCAAACAGTTTTAGATTTGCAGAATTATTAGTATATGGAGAGTTCTCATATATCCCATACCCAGATTTCATCATTAACATCTTACATTAGTATGGGACATTTTTCACAGTTAATGAACTAACACTGATATATTATTGTTAACTAAACTCTACAGTTTATTCAGATTCCTTAATTTTTACCTAATGTCCTTTTTCTGTTCCTGGATCCCACCCAGGATCCCACATTACAATTAGTGGTCTTATCTCCTTAGGCTTCTCTTGGTTGTGACTGCCAGTATTTATAATGACCTTGATAGTTTTGAGGAATAGTAGTCAGGTATTTTGTAGGATGTACCTGTATTGAAATTTGTCTTATGTTTTTCTCATGACCAGAGTCGGGTAATATGTGTTTTGGGGAAGAAGACCAGAGGTAAAGCATCATTCTTATCACATCTTGTGAAGGATACCTACTATCAAGATGACATATCACTGCGGATGTTAATCTGGATGACCTGGCTTGAGGTAGTGTTCGTCAGGTTTCTTGATGGTATGTAATTCTCCCCGCCCCCACTTTCCTACTGTACACCTTGGAAGAAAATCACTGTGTGCAGCCCCCATGGGGAGTGAGTCATGCTTTACCTCCTGGAAAGCAGAGTATCTACATGGAGTTTTGGGTTATACCACTACTTTATTTTGTTGCTCGAATCGTTCCAGCTTTGGTGACGGGGAGCACTTTTAGTTGACTCCTGTATCCTTGTGACCCACTTTTTGTCATACCAATGTGAGGTGTTTATCATTTTGTTTTGTTTTTCATTTTTCTTTTAGCACTACCTTACTTTCTGGCACTATACGATGCTCCAGGCTCATTATGCATATTTCTTGCCCCAGTCCTAAATTAGCCATTGCTCCAAGGAGCCCTGGTTCCTTTTATTGGAAAGTAGTATTAAAACCAAGATTTGGGTGGTACTGAGAGGTTTAAACATGTGGCCAAAGTCATACAGCTAGTAAGTGGCAGAACCAGGAACCGAACCCAAGCATCTCACTCCAGGTTTGGGGGAATAACCAGTATACCACATTTCCTCACAGTGGCAAGGACCTCACAGAGCAGAAGATTAATGGATTAATGAATCCACCAACATTCATTCTCCAACAAATACCTATTATGTGCCCATTAGCTGCTAAATTCTGTGCTAGATGTTAATTGGTTTAATGCCATTTGAGATATTTTCCTGGGCTACGGCCCAATTTAAAATGAAGGAAGAGGCTGTTGTAATGTGCCCCTTGAGAGGACTCTGGCAGCTGCGTGGGATGAAGATGGTGAAATGAAACCACTCCACTCAGGGGCTGCGAATACACTTTATTATGCTACAGGTAATATTCCAGGGTAAGAGGCAGTGCCTGCTTTATTTCCTATCTCTCTATTATCCTTTTCGCAAATGTTAAAGGTTTATTATCTTTTCCTATATATGAAACACCCAGTCGTTATGCCACTGTTCACTGATAAAATATTTGAAAATAAAATATTTGAAACGGTCTTTTGTGAAAATCATTGAACAAAACTGGGATTTCCATTTACAGCTGATTGAAAGAAAATTTTAAATGCACACTTACCTTATGACTGTCACTAGTGGGTGGTTCCCAGAGACCAAGCCGAGATAATCTAAAAGGAAACAGGCAAAATAACCACCCTGAATGCAAATATCTGCAAGGATTACAATATTATTTATCCCCACATATTTAGTGGCAGAGCCCTATGAAGTGTCCCGTGACCTGGCTTTAGTTGTCAATAACACGTTTTGGGAACGGGAGGGCAGGTGGGATGGAGATGGGTTTGGCAGAAAGGACTCAGCTAGAAAAAGAAGGCGGAGGCTAACACAGTGGGGAATCTTGCATTGACCTCTTCCTGAAATTTATAAATTCCTTGGAAGAGGACATGGATTCAAGGGAAGGGATAGCCAAGAATATGGGCCTTCATTTTTCAGGTCAGAGCAAGCATCAAATGAGCCACTTTCCAGATGTACCAAAGGTTAGGGGCATTCCAAAAAGAGTTAGCAAACACAGTGCCTTAATGCAACAATAAGAAATCACAATACGTCAATAAATGGGAATAATGTATTGATTAGATTCATAGGTCAGGGGAAAGGAACAATCAAAGGGTTTAGCCTGTGAGGAGCTAACTCAGTTCACCTGAGTGGGTTTGATTGGGAAGACTTCAAGGAGGGGGTGTGATCTATTGAATCCCTTTGCCAATGGACATGGGAGAGGGGTGGTCTCTCAGATTTTGTTTCTGACATTTACAACCTCTCTCTGAGAAAAAAAAGTGCATTTTGTACCTCTGGGAGCACCAGTCTAGACAATCTAATTAGTCCATCTAATATAGTTTCAAAACTATCAACAGGGTCAAAGCCCTCTTGGGAAGTATGTAGGGAAAAAAAGTCCCAACTCATATCATTGAATTCTTAAATACCAAAGTATCACTTTTATCAGTTATAAAATATCAAGAAATGTGCAACTATTTGGGTTTCTAAACATCTCCTTTGTTTAAAATATTGTAATAATTCAAGGAAAAGGTGTTCCCACTGACATGTTAGAAAAAAAGTAACATTCTACCGATTTCTGCGTATTCGATGATATACCAGCCATTGCAAAATGTAACTCAGTCAATATACCAAGGACTCATATTCTTCCAAGCATTTAACAAAAGTACTGAATATACTTAGAGCAGACCTAGGAGTTCTACCAGAGTTAATAAATTTGTCCCTTCAAACATAGAATAGAGGCAATAGTTTTTAGTGGTAAGGACCTCAGGCAGGTTATTGAACCTCTGGATGTTCCACAAATAATAGTTATTATGTTATTTTTAGTGCCAGCAATATAAGAATTCTGATCAAGATAGATTCTTAATGTTTTTCTTACTTATAATAACCTATACATTTTAATAATATAGATATTTAGAAGACATTTTGGCTTAATAAAATGTAATCTTTCCAAGCATGATTTTTCTAACTGAAAAAAAAATCTATGAAATGGCTTTTATATATTTTTCTTTATCTCATAGTTACTTTGTTGACATACAAACAGATCACAACTTGAAAAGTGGTATTTTACAGTTTTTTCATTGTTAGGATGTGGAATCTAGTCAATGTGAATTCACAGTGTTTTATACTTTAAAATATAGTTAACTCCATTTAGACTTTCAGATTTTACTGAAACAACAACAACAAAGGATACTTGATTAAAATGGCAAGGTAGGTAAAAAAGCAGTTACTAGAGCCGACCTGACATAGGACCCCAACAGCTTCCATTAGTATCAGAGTGGACAGGCCACTAAAGCCCAAGCTGGTTGGTGGCATCTCAGTCAGATGGGCTGAGAGCAGGAGAAGAGAGCATCACATGAAAGGTATTAAATGCTCTGCTGTTCTCTATGCCCCCAGACAACTTTCATTTACCTGCTGACAGAAGTACATTGAAATACAGCCTGTCTTACCTATTTTTTCTTTTCAGAGATTGCTAAGACGATGATGGAGGGAGGGAGGGGTGTGAATGTAGATAGGAATGCAGGTGTAAATAATGAACAGGCTACAGGATTTATTTTTATATAATAGCAGCTTTCGTTGAAACATATACGTAAGGGAAATTTTGTAGATTACACACATATCTTGCTAATTTAAATGATCACTTCAGGGAAACAAAGAGATAAGGGGTAAGTGGGCTAACTTTAGAGCAGTCGCTTACCATTACGAGGCCTCTTTATACAGAAAAGTACATGTATTAAAAGTACATGTATATCTAAAACCCCTTTCTGACATCCATTTCAAGTTGGCCCTTACTTTTCCTTTAAGAACTCCATCAGGAAGTTTATGGTTTATGAGCAAATAAATACAGCTGTGGCCAAATTTGCTTTTTCAGAAGCCTGAAGTGAATCCTTTTTTAATGGTGTCAGTGCTTAAAATAGTTACTTTATGTATTTTGGGTTGCATACAAATTTCAAGGTTTATGATATGAAAGTCTGAGAACACTGCTTTGAAATGTTTTAAGTGCTGTATGAGGATACCGCTTAGCTACCAACACCAGTATTTCTAACGATCTTATCTGTCAGCCGTAACATCCACTCATGCTAATGATGAATAAAAGGGTTTCTGGTCTCAGTGTTGATATCCAGTTTTTTAGATGCCAAAACATAGCATTTTCACTGAGCAGTATATTGTGACAAGAACGTGTAAATAGAATCAAATAGCTCTTTACATTTTCATTTTAATATGATTTAATAAGTCTGGTAATTTGAATATCAAAATCCAACCCTAACTTTCCTCAGGAAGTGGAAAAGACTTAATATTTTATTCATCTGGAAAAAAAAAATGTGCCATGCTCCAAAACACAATTAAACCAGAAACAGATTATATTCATCCTCTCAGGGGCATTTAGCATAAGCTAAATATATTCACAGCACAGTTGATCATTTATAAACACAGCTTCCATCACAACCAGAGAATTGTGTCCATGGCAGTCCATTCATGGTCTAAAGTGAAAAGCCATGAATTCTGCTAGGCTGGAGGCCCCCTTTAAACATCATGCAATCAATACTGAGATATTTATAAAATGCTTAATAAAAATATTTTAAAACATTCTATTCTCTTGTTTTCTACTTTAAGACTGAGGACTTAAATGAGGATTAATCTAGCTCTCTCCACTTCAGTAAATATGGAAATCAGGTATGGAGGGAATAGACTTAATAGGATTCTAGTTTCCGTTAAAGGATCATTGCTATTGCCCTTGTTCCTTGTTCCTCACAGCACAAATTCACTTACGTGAGGTGCTGTCCTAAACTGCTTTCAGTTGCTAAGATTCATTCTGATGCCATGATTCTGTGACTCAAGGTTGTGAGGAATGAATACTTTTTTCATTTCTTTCTTAAAGCTGGTCTTAAATTCAGAAAGCATGTTACGACAAAATAAAAAGCATTAATAACAAGAAGAAACCAAATTCATTCCAGGGAAGAGAGATTGGATAAATGGAGGTTATACAAATGTATTTTCTAGCCAATTGGTCAGTCAGCAACATTTATAGAGAACCTACAAGGGCAGAGCCCAGATGGAATTACCCCCTCTCCTCAGGCCATCTGCATTGCCCTGTGTGGGAGAATGGCAGGATGGGTCACAAGCAGAAAAATACAATCATCCAATAGCCATCCTATGTGTTTATCCATTCTTTCAACAAACATTTACAGAGCATCCACCATGAGGCAAGGCCTAGAGGCTAGGAATGAATGATATGACTTCAGCTTTAAGATGCTCACTCCTAGAGGGGAGAAGCCGGCTAGTCACTTATGACAGACAAGTAAACAAATAAAATAATCGAAATGTGAACAGTTGAATGACAGACTCACATAAACTTGAATAGCTGGTCTGAGCAATACCTGCACACACACCTTCTTCCTTCCCTTTCCCTTCTGATGGTTTTCCTCATTAGCACTTGGTCATTAGCACCATCATCACTTAATGTCATCATACATTTATTTGTTTATTTTGGTTTTCTGTCTCCTTCCACGAGAAAGTAAGTCCTTGAAGGCAAGGGATTTCTTTGGTTCACTGAGGTAAACCAGCCCCCAGAACAGGACTTAACAACTAGGAGGTGCTCAATAAACATTTATAAATGAATGTATGAGTAAATAATCATTATAGAAGTCATTCCAAAGAAAGTATGATTATCTGGAAAGATGGGAGGCAATGATGTTGGGTTATTACAAAAGGTAATTAAATTTTGACAAAGAGGAAGTTGAAAGTCAGTCAAGAGAAGTTTGCTGGGCAGGTCCTCGGGGACACCTAGCAATAGGTCCATGGAGTACAGGTAGTTTTGTCTGCCCAGTGTCCTGACCTCGTGGAACTGTCTCCCAGCCCCCCGTGGCTTTAATAGGGTAGCCGATCCCAAACATCTACTCCTCTGACCAAGGGGGAAGAAGCAAACCAAGCTAGGCCAGCTGGTTCTCCCGCCTGGGCATTTACCCCTGGACAAGAACAAGGAGCAAAGGCAGCTATGAGGGGAAGCAGCATCTCAGAAGGATGGTTTCCGTGTTCTGGCTTCTGAGACCCCGTGTTTTGCCCGGGTTCCTGTCTTCCCCAAAACCTGTTCGGTCAGCTCTTCCCTCAGCTCTTTAAGCTATTAATATCCTTCCAATAAACTTTTTTTTCCTGGCTCTGATAGTCTCAGTTTATTGCTGATGATTACATTCAAAGCGCTCTGTGACCACAGGAGCTGATTAGATGAATGTGTTTGGAAAGGCTCAGAGTAAGAATTTTTATTGAGCACTAACCATGTGCAGGTACTGAGCGAAGCTCTTTATAGGAGTTATCCACTTTAATCTTTACAACCATCTCCATGAGTACCTATTCCCATTTTAAAACCGAGCCAAACTCCCCACTCTATACCAAGTGGCTGAGCCAGCACTTGACTTTAAAGACCACAGTCTTAACAGCTCCCCACTGTCCTCCTGGGAAGCGCAATTTTGAGTGTGTGTCATGGTCAGGTTAGGTGAGTTAGGGCTAGGGATTAGGTGGAGATGGGTATCCTTAGGGAATGGGTAGAGTTAAGGGTAGTGGCACTAGCTTCCGTGCTTAAAATTCAGGATTCTGACATTCTGAATTGTGTTATGATTTTTTTTTC